TTGATGTTTTCTTATTGAACCAGATGCCACATATTAGTATATTTCAGCTATGTCGAACTCTTATCTTAAAGCTAAGCTAAGCTAACCGTGTTACTTTTTTGAAGTCAAGCACCGATTGTTGTATTTGGCCAATCGCACCAAACTCCATTCAAAATTTGTCAATTTTTATGTTCCGCGCAATAGCAAATATGTAATCCATTCTTTGGCTGTTTAATCTGTGTAGTACACACACGTATAACATGTTTCAAAAGACTCTACCCAGTTAAATTACAGTTACACAGCTGGTTCAGTAAATATTTCCAGTAATAACTCAGTTGTCTGGGGCCGTTAGTGGCCGTTTTGGTAAGGAAACAGAACCAGGGCGAGTGAGACAGGATCCGGAATTCGATGGATGCGCCTTTCCGTAAAAATAAAAGCACCAAGCTAATAAAAATGCGGTGAAACTTTTAATTTAAAGAATATAATTTACAAGAAAAGCCCCAAGCCATTAAGTTAATCGATTTTCTTACACCCCTCATCACCCCAAATCGATGGTGCTCCAGAATTTAAAGTATTACTATGGTGAACACTTTTAGTTTGGTGAATTCGGTGAATGTGAAGAGCCTGGTATTTATTCACTCTGAATTTTGTCTGAATTCTTCACTTTATGTGAAGAGCCTGGTGACGCGAGGCCAATAACTCAGTGATAGTTAATGAGATTATTTCTCCTTACAGGTGACTGTCATTGCTGATATTGAGTTCATTGCAGATACAGCAATGTCTTCAAAAATCCCAAGAGGTGAGGAGATTTCTTTGCACTTTGTTGGTGATTAAAGTGTATTTTAATTTTACAAAGTCAAACAAAGCTGGTGTCTGATGAACAATCCTATATGTTTTCCAGGTGTTCAGTTACCTGCAGAAACGAAGAAAATGGGTCATAAACTTGAATCCAGAGACACAGCAGCTGTACATCCAACAGCAAATACTGCTCAAAAATCAGATGGTATCCTTAAACCTCAGAAAGAAAACATGCAACGGTAAGAAATTGCTAATTAGTAGTTTAAAGGTTAAACAAAAAAGCTGATTTAGAAAAATGTGGTAAACCGTGTAACAGAGTCCTAACAAATCCACCTAGGCAAACTGGCACTCAATATATTTTTTTTTTATTTAACCAGAGGAACCCATAGAATAAAAACGTACAGCTCTAAAACAAGCAATATAACATACAAAATAGGTTAGAGATACAAAAAGTATGTTACTGTATACTAGAAGTGAACCATAAAAAGGCAAAAAAAGAGCATCCACACATGATTACAAAGACCAGCTAAGATACACCTGACCTTGGAAATAGAAATGGAAGCAGACGAATGAGGACTACTTGTTAAAATTAATCAATTAAAGATTTGTCAGGTTGTCTTATGTGAGGTCTGACACAAGGGCGGTTCAACCATCTGGAAAATAGAGAATAATAAAGAATAAAGAATTACAATAAGATCTTAACTCATCAGACACGTGTTGTAACCAGTTAATGCTGAAATCCCCCAGTACAACAATCTTGTTAAAAGATAGGCCAGAAATGAGCTTCATTAAGGAAGGAAGTGCATCATTAGTGGTTTATAACAACCAACTGTAACCAAGTGAAAAGAAGGAAGGACCTCCAGGTCTAGGGCCAGCAATTCAAATTGTTAGTTTGCTTCACAGCTACTGAATTATTTTGTTTTTTTTGTCTTCCAGGAAAAATGTTGCTCCTAAAGTTCACAAAGGGTAAGTCACACATTATATCGCATATCCCTTAATATACTGTGGGCTTCAGCCATTTTTTTTCTCACAACTTTATGTTGCACCTCTCCACAGAGTCTCCACCAGGTATGGACAACAGGCAGAGCTCAAGGAGCAAAATCAGCATCTTATGGCGACCAATGAGGAGCTGCAGAGAAACCTCACAGAGACACAGGTACAGAAGACAATTTTGATAAAGTGCTTGTAGGATTTCACTTGTCTGTTGTCAGCTGCAATTGTATAGAACTTCTTTGCTTATTATGCTGCAGCAAAGAGTAGCTGAGATGGAGCTGCAGTTCAGTGACCTTGAAAAGGAAAATGCAGAGGTAAAGAAAGACCTGAAGAACTGTCACATGCTCCTCGTCTCGGCCAAAGTAGACCCAGGTGATTTTCCCAGTTTTCAAAATATGTTCGTGTCAGCCTAATTTCTGTTGTTGTCAGTTGTAATATAACATGAAATCTCTTTTTAGTTTTAGGAGAAAAGGTTGGAGAGGCTGCACAACAAAATGAAGATCAAAGAAGAGAAGTTATGGTACATATATTTTATTTCAGCTTGCTTGATATTATAATAGTTACAGTACAGTATTTTTATGTATCATATGCTATAGCAAACAAATCAAAACACATTTAAATCAAACAAATAACTGCAAAAGTGCACGTGTTTCATGCTACATAATCATACAAATAAAGAAAAGAGAGGAAAAAAATGTTACCCGTTTTAAACCATTCACTTCACTTGTATCCTACACATTAAGGGTTACAGGATTTTGGTTATTATAGGCAGTGCTATCTGGTTAACACAACTTTGTCTCTATTTCAGAGTGTCTCCACAGATCTGCTGAATCAATTGAAAGCGTTTGGAGATACTGCATCACAGCAACGTGCTCAGCTAGAGGCGAGTTAAACTCTATGAAACTCTGGCATTCGTTGTAGCTGATTTAAAGGAACAGTGTGTGAGATTTAGGGGGATTTAGTGGCATCTAGTGGAGAGGAGTGCAAACTGCAACTAGCTGAAACTTCTCCTGGTTAGAATTGCTGCGAACGGCTCTATCTAGAGTCAGTGTTTGTTTTATACATTCTGGAGTACTGTAGAGACATGGCAGTGCAACATGGCAGACTCCATGGATGAGGATCCGCTCCCTGTGTAGATATAAACAGCTCATTCAAGGGCAACGAAAACACGCCTCTTATTTTCAGGCGTTTATACACTAGAGGAAAACATACTTATATTCCATATCTGCCAATATATACCTCTACATCCTTCACACTGGACCTTTGAAAGAAGTTGGAGTGTACTTAAAATGTTCCTTATTTTGTACACTTGTAGGAAATCCAAACAATGATTACAGAACTCGCTAAAGCACGGGAACATATGATGCAGGAGAGGAAGGACTTTTCCCTGGAGGCTGCTGAAATGGAGCAAGCTCTCAAGGAGGCAGAAGCTCTCCTGTTGTAAAAGTGTACAGTCAGTTTCCCAATTTAAAGTCGTGTATTTATGTGTAATGTGTGTTCTTAATGTTAGTGTGACTAAAACTGAATAAAGGATTTTTATTTTCCTTGCGCTCCTCATCTCTCTTCATATTTCAAACAGTCAAGACATGCTTTTACACACAGCAAGTTCTTATTGGTCGAACAGGATGTACAATGTTTTAGGAATATCGTCTCATTTACAATTACCAGTGTACTGTTTGAGAGGAAACTTTATTTTTATGAGTATAACCACGGCACAAGATATATTTTATATGAGTGGATGATCACAGGGGCCTGAAAATGTAATTAAAAATGCTTCATAGCCACAGTCAAAATTTGTTACAATTCGTTGTTGCGTTAAAAAAACATTTAATCCTTTTTGTATGGGGATTTAAAGCTCAATGTATTTCTAAAAAACATAACCGCTTATCTTGTTGGGGGTCACAGGGGTGCTGGAGCCTATCCCAGCTGACATTGGGCGAGAGACAGGGTACACCCTGGACAGGTCACCAGACTATCACAGGGCTGACACATAGAGACAGACAACCATTCACACTCACATTCACACCTACGGCAATTTAGGGTCACCAATTATGCATGTCTTTGGACTGTGGGAGGAAGCTGGAGTACCCAGAGAAAACCCACGCTGACACGGGGAGAACATGCAAACTCCACACAAAAAAAACATATGTCCAAGCCTAAACTCATGGGAGGCCTCAGTCTTTGCCACCTTCGATCAGTTAAAAGAAAAGTACCCACTTCCAAATTCGCATTTCTTCTGTTCTCTCCGGATCAGAGATTACATCCGCACAAGTATACCACATTTTAAGTCAGTCCCTACCCCCATTGAACTGTATACACTTATGAGTCACACCTCTGACTTGAACAGACTCATCTCCTGGGAGAAGGACCTTGGCATCTCGATGGCAATGAAACCTGGGAAACTTACCTAAAAGACATTCACAAATGCTCCAGCTTATTCAATATAAAGTGCTTCACAGGCTAAACTACTCCTGTGCTAAACTTCACTCCTTTTACCCCTCTGTCATAGTCATAGTATCCACCTTATTTTCAAACACGGAAGTAAATAGTGATCAACTTCCGTGTTTTTGTGCGTGACTTCTGGTCAGGCGCTTTCCCTTACCGAAGCTAACGGTGCATGCTAATTTTTTTCAATTTTCAATTGTTTATGTTAGTCAATCAGTTAGTTAGTTAGTTAGTCTGTGTATTTTATATAGATAACTGTGCCCACGTTTCCGTTACCCCGTAATTGCCGGTAAAAATAATTACCTCTAAACGCGAATAAATCACACATCAATCAAAAACTATGAACCAAAAAAGCACAATCTACCCCGAGTGAGACAAACTGCTTGATCCCCATCTCCAGTGTACCAGCAGAGAACCTGCAGAACTGAATCAGTGAAAAACCGCTAACGCTATCAGCTAACGGTTAGCCCAGCTAATCTACGATAACTATGTTATTAATTACAAAATGTGCACACAGAAATAGTAATGTTTGCTCAGTCATTGTGTTTATAGACTTTAAAAACATCAGATTAGTCTAAACGGTGATATAGTGACATGAAAAATGTGATATATATATAGCTAAACTCAACAAGGTAAACAACAAGACGATTCCCATTTACACAGTGGTCAAGAGTGCTGGACCGGAAGTGTCACACAAAAAAACGGAAGCTGGCTGCGTTCTGTTTTGCCTCCGTGTTTCTGTGAAAAATAAGGTGAATAGTGTGACATAAAAATCTTCATAAAAAGTCACAGTACAGTATGTCATAAAAAGCTTCCTAAAAATGTCATAGTATAGTATGTCATAAAAAGTCATAGTATGGGGCTATGTCCTGGGGCCCCTGTTATTCATCATCTACTTACTCCCCCTTGGTCACATTTTCAGCAAAAACCACATTAATTTCCATTATTACGCGGATGACACCCAGCTCTACATCTCCTCCAAACCTGATTCCACCCTCCCTCCCTCATTCCTTACTGACTGCCTTCATGAAATAAAGTCCTGGTTCACATGCAATTTCCTCAAATTAAACAGTGATAAAACAGAAATGTTACTAATCGGCACTAAATCCACTCTAGCCAAAGCCCACAGTTTCACCATATCAATCGACAATTCTTCCATCCTCCCCTCCCCTCAGGTAAAGAGTCTGGGTGTCATCCTCGACAGCACGCTTTCCTCCTCATCCCACATTAACAACATAACCCGGTCAGCCTACTTTAATTTCCGCAACATCAACTGCCTACGCCCCTCCCTCACACCTCACGCCGCTGCCATACTGGTGACTACTGCAACTCCCTCCTGTTTCATCTCCCCCAGAAAATCCTCCATAAACTGCAGATGGTTCAGAATTCCACCGCCTGTATTATCACTAGGATCCCATCCACCAGTCATACCACAGCCATCTTCCAACTCTGGAATTCACTCCCCCCTGACCTGCGAAATATTGAATCACTCCCATACTTTAAATCCAGGCTGAAAACTCACCAGGCTTTCCTACTCTCTTTGAGTGGGTAAGCCTGAACAGATGTTTTGTTTATGTTTGTATTGTTTGCTTTTTAAACTGATATTTGTTTGTTTGTTGTTAAATGTTGAATTATCTTGTACTTTGTATTTTATTGTATTTTGCTCTGTATTTTACTCTGTAAGACGACCTTTAGTGTCATGAAAGGCGCCCAGAAATAAAATTTATTATTATTATTATTATTATTATTATTATAGTGTGACATAAAAATCTTAAAAAAAAAACCAAAACATCATAGTATAGTATGCCAATATTGCCCAATATGTAAATCAGAACCTTGGGCCACCTCTTTTAAGTGTTTTTCAGAAGTATACAACTGTGATATTATACCAGACCTACGTTCTGCCATCCTGGGTGGATTTTTTCATAAAAGTCATAGTATAGTGTGACATAAAAATCTTCAAAAAAATGTCATAGTATAGTATGTCATAAAAATCTTCATATAAAGTCATAGTATAGTATGCCATCGTTGTGGCAAAAAGGAATATTTCAACTCTTTGGAAAACTGAGGACGTGCCTTATTTTAAGACCTGGCTGGTAGAAATCACCAGCTTGTTACACATGGAGAGAGTGAGGTACAGTGTTTCTCTCAGCTCTGGCAACCATTCATGCCCTATTTATCCAGAATGGCCTGACGCGTTTGCAGGTATGTACAGATATTTGTTCATAATGGGTTTGACAAACAGTGTACTTGTACTACATGCATACGTACAGACATTCATTCCATAGTTGGTGCTGCTGTTCATTTCCGTGGGTGTGGGGAGGGTGATTTGTACCTGTATTTGTGTTGTTTGTGTTAAAATCTGAAAATCTACACATAAAATATTTTTGAAAAAAAAAAAAAAAAAAAAAAGGTTTAACCGCATGCTGTGATCTTCACTGAATAAAACTGCAAACCCAGTTCTGGTCCAAAGACAACTTAACAATGTAGTATTAAAGTAATTTTCCTATATGCTGATAACTGTTAATGAATATGTCAAATAAAGATGCCTATTGCAGTGTTAAACATCCGTATACTTTCCACTTATGTGCACTTGCTTGTAGTTTTTAAGTCAAGCTGACTTTTTCACCACTCTTTACTCGCCACCAGTGTTCCCAGGCTTCTTTTCCTTCTCTGGCAGGTTGCTGTAGGGGTTCTCGAAGATGTCCACCCTGGTTTTGAGAGTGCTGGTGTTGCTTGAGCTGTTAGTATCACTGACGCCGCCCATTACCTCTTTTGAGTGGCTGGTCTTCCAGTAGTAGATGAACAGGAACAAACCTGACAGGCGAAGAAAGATGGTCACTCATGAGGACAAGTTGAGCCCATGAAATGTAAAATATTTTTGGTTCATCTCCTGCTTTACACTCATTGCTCATGTAGGTGGGTTTTATTCTCAGTCATCTATACATGTGCTGTCTCAGCTTGCCTCTCAGGTTTTTATGCAGGTAATGGTGGAGTAGTAGAAGATTGCCATTCAGTGCAAAATATGATTCCATGTTTTAGCCAAAGCTACAGCAACATGATGGCGCAGTGCAACAGTGGTACACTAAAGCCCTGTTTGAGGTTCATGTTATTAGTAAACTGTAACTAAAAAATGAAAGGACGTTTTGCTGCCTCTTTCAGCAGCTGGAGTCAGAGAAAAAAAATAACTTAATTCACTGGGCCGACTGCTGGCAACTTTTAAGGTGGAGCTTTAACTTGTAATGTTACTCAGTGCATGAGGTGACAATGTGAATCCACTTCACTTTAAGAACTTTGACCATTACTTTAGTTTTTATTGTCTCTCTTGGATGACATACACTTTTAGTAATGAGTTGAAGCGTCACAGAGCATTGTTCCTGTGGGCTCCAGCAACACTAAGCTTGAATGTGAAGGACTAAATGCACAACCCCACTATTTTAAAATATCCCATGGAGAGAGAAACTCATTGCAGCCTGTTTTATTTTGTTATGAAAATGTCGGCGTGCAGCCTCGTTCTGTGGATGATAAACGAAGTGCACACTGATAAAGGAGGAAATACAAGTCCTTTTTAAATAGGAATTGTGCAGATTTGCAGGAAAGCCCAATCCGTCTTTTTTCAGCATTGGCAGTATAAAAACAAAATCAGGGAGTGCAGCAAAATGCCTACTACCTACTTTTGTTTATACAGAATGTGCCTTTTTCAGGGCAATGGGAGGCGTGAGCAAGTAACAAAACGTGTGGCTCAGTGTTTGACGTAACCAGTGACGTGGGAGGGAAGCCGCGGCTGGTCAGTCCTTAAGCGAATCTCTCATAAGTCGGCCCGTTCTTGATTGGCCCGTTCCTGTCATCTGATGGTTAATGGCCTCTTCGTTTGCGAGGACAAGGAGGGCGCGCAATTCCTTGTCTCCCCAGATGCTCATCTTTACAGTGTCTGTCAGGTTTGTGTTTCCCTCTTGCTACTAGCTGCTTGCTCATTCCTGCTGGCGTCATCAACAGCTCCTCCCACAAGTCTTCAACAGCCCCTCCCCTTACGGAAGGCCGCCTCTGTCGGTTTAAACTGAAAGTTTAGCCAAAGCTACGACGGTTTAAACTGAAAGTTTAAACCGTCGTAGCTTTGTTGAACTGAAAGTTTAAACCGTCCAAAATTGGGCCCCTCGGATCAGTTCGCCAATCCTGCTCTGTGTGTCTAAACGCTCGCAGCTTGCAGGCAAAACGGCCCAACATTCACAGAAAATCTGGCAGTGTAAAAGGGGCTACAGTGAGTACTGGACAGAGCAGTGAGGGACAACAACCCTGCCCACATTTAAAGGTACTGTTTGCAGTGGAAACGCTAGGGTCTACAGTAGGTACCATGTCTGAAGGGTTACTTTCGGTTCCAAAGGTACCATACCGAAAGTGTTTGAAACGGGGCTTTAGGTAAAAGTCAAACGAGTGAGATTTGTGTCACTGCCGTGACTGGAGGAGAAATCTGTGGGTACCATAGAACCTATTTTCATTCAGATATCTTGAGGTGAGAGTCCAAGGGACACCTTAGAAAATGACCTCACCAAAATTTAGCTTAACATGGAGGGTTATTTAGCCCCCATCCCAAGAAGCTATGCCAATACCAATAGGTGCTTCATGTTGTCTAGTTCAACAAGATATCACTACCTTCACGCTAGCTGATAAAATGAGTGTGTCACAGCCTCTTAAAGAGAATAATGTCAACATCCAATGATTTTTGTGTGTGTGTGTGTGTGTGTGTGTGTGTGTGTGTGTGTGTGTGTGTGTGTGTGTGTGTTGCTTTTATTCTTTACATTGTATTTACATTTACTGGTATGTTTTTTCATTGTTTTTATCTGTATTTCTCATTATCATCTGTCTTCTTTCTTTTTTGCATTTTATCTTATTTAATTTTACCTGAATTTTTGTCTTGCTTTAAATCAGCATTACTGTTTGGCTTTCTATTGTCGTATTGCCTCCATGATCGCTCTGATTGGCAGTTAAGCTCAGTGCACAAGAAGAGAAACAGAAGATTGCTGATTGGCTGTAGTCTTTGCGGTGTGTTCAGTGCAACTTTTTGGCCACGACACCAGTGACATAGGGCGCCGCAACTGTCGGTCTTCATCACCACTAGTTCTTTGATATTGGTGTGGTGTGTCTGGGCCTTAAGTCGCAGATCCCTACATCACGGCTATAGTGATCCCATGGCAAGATGGCCTCTAGCTTGGTCACTCCTGGAGGAAACATGTGCCTTTTTAGCAGCTAAATGCTCCAATATGTTCACCATCTAGACTCTTATTTTCTTTGCTGTTTGGATTTGAGCAGGTTGCGACCAGTAAATTTATCAGAGCACTTCCCTAAAAAACTGCTGCCTGCTACAGCTGGAAGTGAAGCTAATAGGAGCTGTAAAAATCATCCAAAACAGTATAAATTAAAGCTGTGGGGACATGTGGGCTTGGGCGATAATTCCCTGTACTTTGTCTCTACAAGCAACCCCCTTCAAACTACACATAGCCATTTCATCTGTTGTTTGAAGCATCTTTATCCTGTGAGTAAAGCAGCAGGAATACTACCAACATGAGCAGTGAGTTTAAATATGATGCAATTACATTATTTAAAATGCAGCAGATCAATAAACTTAAAGATTATTATCACAGTTGTGGATACCTTGGAAAGAATTGAGGACCGTGAAGATGTAGTAGGCAGGGATACGGAGGATGCCGTGGGCGAAGAAGGCAAAACCCCATGTGATACCCAGCATGCAACACAGTCCCAGGATGATTACAATATTTTTGCCACTTGTCTCTGTTCCAGCTCCCACTCTCCTGAGACAGCAGAGCCAGGACACGATGGTGATGAAGGTAATGAAGGTGAAGATGAAGACCAAAGCATAGTAACCTATGTTGACAATGCTGTGGACTTCAGTGTCTGTTATCCAGCACCTTGGAGCAGAAAGATGTATCAGTAAAGGAGAAGAAATGTAGCTCTAATGTGCAATTCTATCATCCACAGACTCACATGGAAATGCTTTCTGTGGAGTCACTGGTGAGGATGGCTTGTTCACCATATTTCCCAATGCTGAGCAGGACGATCCCAACAATGCTCGGTAGTACTGGAAATGGAGACAGAAAATAAACCAGTGACTTGCAAATGTCGCCTCAGTACTCTGGTACAGAAAAGCAAAAAACAATGATGCAGACTCACCCCAGCTGGTGATGCAGACTTTGATCATGTAGTGACGGATTATAGTTTTGCCCCCCATGTACAGCTGCTGGCAGATGTGGAAGGCCTGCACAGCAAACCAAGTGAAAGTGGCCAACATGAAGTAGTGCATGAGAGCGGCCATGATCTTACAACCCACAGAGCTCTTCAGCTGGGCCACGTAGTTGTTGGTCAGGAAAGTTAAGTTAAGTAGGAACAAGGCTGATACCAGGTGGATGAGAATCCTTGTGGCTATACTGGCTTTGGTCCTCCTGTGAGGAGAGACAAACAGAGACGTCATGTTTGTCTTTTGGGTATGGGCACTTTATGACTGCGGATAGATAGATCGTTATTTTTTTTCATTATTACCCCGTCTAGTAAAGGAGTTAAATACATTTTGAACAAAGAACTATGCAATTAGGTGACTGTCAGAATATTCAGTTGATAATTAGTAAATTGTTTAACTCATAGAGTGGTGGAAAAAAGTTTTCGGACACCCCATGCATTTGTGAAATATTGCATTAAGAATCACTCTTAGGTCTTCAAGTGCAATTTCTTTTAGTACAGTCACAGCCAAAATACTAAATAAATCCTAAAAAAGCCATTAAAAACTTAAAATTGATTGGTTCCATAAAAATACATATGAAATTTTGAGTATTGGGTCATTTTGGTACCAGTGATGAAGGTCGTTCTTTTTATTAAAAGACACAATTTTTGTTGCCAAGCTTCGTGTCTACATAAAGCCAGCACATTTGAAAGTTCTTCAGACACAAAAATGGCTAAAACAAGGAACCTAACGCAGGAAACACGCCTGAAGATAAAGATTCTCAGCCAGGAAGGGTACAGCTGCCGCCAGATAGCCAGGAAGTGCAGATGCAGTCCTTCAGCAGTTGGATACACTCTGCAGAAATACAGACAAACCAACAGCTTGGAAGACAAACCAAGATCTGGGCGTCCAAGGGTTTCTTCAGCAAGAAATGACCGCATCCTGATCCGCATGTGCAGGCAAATCTGCTGAATGACATCACAGGAGCTTCAGCAGCAGTGGTCAAACCAAACTGGTGTCCAGTGTTCCACCCGCACTGTACGTGGCCGACTTTTAGATCATGGCTTAAGGTCCTACAAGGCTATCAAGAAGCCCCTGATCAATGAGAGACAGAGGTTAGCCCGGCGTCGTTGGGCCCAGGCACACAAGAACTGGATAGCCAGGAATTGGCTTTATCTTCCTCCTACTAATGTGAGGGTACGCAGAAGGCCAGGCGAAGCATTATCTCCAGCATGTACAGTACCTACTGTCAAGCATGGTGGAGGCAGTATCATGGTTTGGGGATGCATGAGTGCTGCTGGTGTTGGTCATCTCACTGTCTGTGATGGCACATTGAACTCTACCAAGTATTGTACCATTCTCGAAACCCACATGCTCCCTTCTGCGCGTGCACTGTTCCATCGAGGTAAAAACTGGATGTTTCAACAAGATAATGCCCCTTGCCACACATCCAAGGCCAGTAGAACTTGGCTGCAGGAGCACAGTATCCAGGTCTTAGAGTGGCCAGCTCAATCCCTGGACATGAGCCCCATTGAAAATCTGTGGTGGATTATCAAAAGGTCTGTTTCAAAGCATAAACCAAAGAATTTAGAAGAATTAAAAGCAGTAATTCAAGAAGAATGGGACAAGATTACCCCTCAACAGTGTGAAAGGCTCGTGGGGAACATGCCAGCCAGGATTAGAGCTCTACTACGTGCCAATGGCAGGACTACTAAATATTAATTTGATGATGTGATGGTTTATTTATTTTTTGTTCAGTTTTGAACACATTCTCTGTTATTTGTTGACTTTGATAGCGACAATGTTGAGAACTGACATATTGAAACTGTTAAGAATTTAGTTTTGTTAGTTTTTCTTGTAAACAATAAACAAAAAAATATAATTTGTATTTGTTTGTATCTGTCTAATGCAGCCACACCTTTTGAAACACAAAAAAGATTTTTCCACAAATATTTCATGATAATATTTGAGATTGTGTAAAATTTTAAGGGTGTCCGAAAACTTTTTTCCACCACTGTATATCTGGCCAAATCGCCAAACATTCACTGGTTTCAGCTTCTCAAACATTACAATTAGCTGCTTTTCTCTGTTTTGTTTCGTTGTAAATTGATTTACAGTTTTACAGGTATCAGACACCTACATTTAATGCTTTAAGGACCTTTTCAAGATCATTTTTAAACGAAATATATTGATTTTTGTACACATTTTTATTCAAGCATTGCAGGTAAGTTTAAAAGTTAGTATATGTAGGGGCAGATTATGATTTATCTTTGCTAATAATATGTTGTATTCCTGTTGACTTAGTTTCAGACACATTTTAACTTTTTAAAAAAACTTTAAAAAAAAAACAACCTTAAACTACCAACTAATAATTTGGTGGCCCCCTTGCAGTAACTCTAAGGACCCTAGGGATCACAGAACCCCTGTTGGCACGACATGATTTTGCCAAGTAAGACATGCTCCTGGATCGACATCCTATGTTCCTGGACCAACACTGCAGTTAACCAATCACAGCCCATCATCGGTGTACACATCATTAGTGTGCTGCTCCTGTGCTTCTTTCAAAATCCCTTTGTTCATCATCAGAGCTAAGGTAGTTTTTCAAATTGAAGTTAGTACAATTGAACACAATCTTCAGCAACACTGAACAAAAACCATGTAAGCTACAGCAAGATTCGCGAGTTAGCTTGCTAACTAGGTTGGCTATGCAAGTAAGTTTGCCAATAGGCCAGAGTATTATTCAATGTGTCAAATGTGTCCCTTGCAGGTCTTTGCAACTGCAAAATGACATTATCGTTACTCTTAGGGCTCTAGTTTCCAGGCGCAGCTCTGGCGAACCCCGCGCAGAGCTAGTTTCGAGCAGTGCAACCTGAGGCGCGCTCAGTTTGGTAGTTTGGCAGACCGAGGTGCGCTGAGATGGGTGTGGCGGCGCAGCAGGGGGAGGTGTCGACAGATCCAGCTTGGCGCAGTGACAGTTTCGTGCCAAAAGGCTTCGCCGAAGGTGCGCTAAAAGCTCGCCAGCTGAAACCAGGTCTACTGTCAGCGCAGGGGGAGCGCAGCCGGTGTAAGCCGAAGTTTGGCTGACCGGCGGACAGTGCGCACACGTCACCAAAACCTCACAGGCAGGTTTCCAGAATATCAGGCACATTAACGATGCAATAAATACCCAAAAAACCACTATTCAATGCAACTATCTGCAATCAGCACATAAATGTATCTCTATATCGACTGTCCCGTCACATCTGATGTCAGATCAAAGGGGATTGGCACCGTTTGGCACGTTTGGCACGCGTAATGGAAACCCAACCTGATTTGATTAACACAGCTGCAAACTAATGAGTTCACATTCCTCTCAGCCAACCACAAACAGCCACAGCATCAGATAGGGAGTATATATTCAGCATCTGTCATCTTAGAAAAGTCAAAAGAAAAGAAACAGAGTGAGACTGCGAGAGAGAACGAGCGAGCGCGCGCGCACGAGAGAAATGCAACATTGATTTACAATTGTGGTGACCTCCTCCCAGGCTACCTTTGCCTCATCAGCCCGTGGGGGTCTGCTCGCACTTCCGTATATTTGGACACTGCGAGCTTGGACCTCCCCGACCAAAACATCAGTTTCCTCCTGGGAGAAGTTTGGCCGTCTGACACTGCTACTCTCTTCTGCCATGGCGAATTGAGTAAACTCTCATTACGCCTTCGTGCGGCGCATTTAAGGGCGAGGAGAGGGGCTCATTTGATTGGTGTGATGTGTGTAAAACCCACTCCATGCCTTCTCTCCTCCCTCTTTCCGACTTGCGCAGGTAGGAGGGACGGAGGTGGGACAGACAAGTAGCTGCGCCAGCGTGCACGGTGTGCCAAACTTGCAAAATCCGCCTGGCCACACCCAGCTGGTGAAGCGCAGGTGTGCTGTGCCCCTGCCTCGCCCGGTCTGTGAAACTAGAGCCCTTAATGTTAATGAACAATATTTTAGCCAGTTGGTAAGCCTACTTGTTAGCATAGCCTATGTAGTTAGCAAGCTAACTTGCTAATCTTATAGTATATCAGCAAGTTTACTCATTAGCATAGCCTTCCTAGTTAGCAAGCTAACTCGCTAATGTTATAGTCGCAGTAAGTTTACTTATTAGCATAGCCTACCTAGTTAGCAGGCTAACTTGCTAATCTTATAGTCTATCAGCAAGTTTACTCATTAGCATAGCCTTCCTAGTTAGCAAGCTAACTCGCTAACCTTGCAGTAGCTTACATGGATTTTGTTCACTGTTACTGAGGATTTTGTTCAGTTGTTCTAGCTTCAATTTGGAAAACTAGCTTAGCTCTGAAGAAGCACAAAGGAATTTTGAAAGAAGCACAGGAGCAGCACACTGATGATGGCAGTGTCCTGGAATGCGATGTGGGATGTTGATTGAGGGGCATATCCTACTTGGCAAAATCACGTCGTGCCCCCCTGTTGAAGACTTGAGATGCAGGATATATATGGTTATTAGACTGACTTGGGTTAATCTACATTTTACCAACAGGTAAGTGCCTAAGTAAAAAAGTCTAAAGTAAAAAGACAGAATTAGGTTCAGTGGTAAGTTTGACCTCATGAGACCCAAACTTTTGTTTGGTAGGGGAGACCGGGGTAAGATGAGCCACTTTTCATATTCAGGATCACTACATCAAGGCTATTATAGTTTTGTGGCTAACTAACATATGTGCATATATTTCAGGATGTTGTGCATCCCTACAAACAAACAGAATGAGTGTAAACATAACTGTTTTGATAATATAGCATGTCCAAAAAAAGTGGTCTCGTGGCACAACTTACCCCATGTCTGGGGTAAGTTGAGCATAGGAGTGGGGTAAGTTGAGCCATCTCCCTCCTTCCCTCCCACCTCACCTTCTCTCCTCCCCCTCTCTCCCTCCCTGGGTTAAGATATTTCAGTTATACAGTCTGTACTGAATTAAATAAGACGGTTCTTCAAATCCATGTTTTGTTTTTTTTTTATTTATAATACACAATTCAACAGGTACAAATCTTTTTTTAAATTATAATTGCATATAACAACTTTAAAACATTTTAACATAGGCCTGAGAATGCCTTAAAGGGCGCTTAGGAAGAGAATCTTAACAGCTGTGTTTTTGGAAAGAAAACACTGAACTAAATCCGTAAACGTGAATCCTAGTTTGGTGTCCTTGCTGACAGGAGGGCCTCCTTCATCCTCTTTAAACTCCTCCCTCCATCTTACTCTCATTCCATCTACCCCCCTCCCTCCTTCCATCCATATCTCACCTGCCCCTTTACTCAATATCCCACCTGTCCAGGTTGCAGGTGAATACAAACTGCTGGGACTCTGAGGTTTGGGGAGTTTTGCGATTACATCGCTTCTTGGGAAGAATCCCTCATCTTTCTCCTTGAAAGTAAAGCTTGGTTTACCATATCCAGCTTTGCCTCTTCTCAGAAACTTACGGCTCAACTTAACCCTGTTCAAATTGCTCAACTTACCCCATAGCTACCATACTGACTTTATTAGCCCCCACAGCTAAAATGGTGCACTTTCATGCTAGCTGTACTACCTAATTTTGTAGTTAATAGATACCACGATTGATATATAAAACAAATTAAAAATTATCTATTTTGGTCTAACCACAATCCCCATGAAACTTATGATAGACTAAATTCACTTTCATGAGTGAAAAATGCTTTTTTGGACATAAATCTCTAACCACTTAACCCATGTGGTTCTTACCTTCACAGACTCCATAAAATGATGCCTTCCTCCTAAATATTTGGTCACATGCTCAATTTTATTTACGGTTTCCGAGCAACATGGGGTGGCTCAACTTACCCTTTGGCTCAACTTACCCCAGTCTCCCCTATGCATTTTTAATTTCTCCTAGCTATTTGGGATTATTGGGACCCAATAAGTATAAAAACCTAAACATCGTCAACGATAAATAAGTCCCAGTGTCATCAAACGAGATGATAATACAGTCCCATGTCCTAAAACGGGTACTTTCTAATTAACAGTGTCTTAGCTTGTTACTGTTGCTAAAATTTGTTGCCATATCAAACTACAAACTTTATTAATCATGCTGACTGACTTGGCAGAGATGGCTGCCATCTTGCTTTTACATGGATTAGTGTATTGTGCTCTTACTACCACTAGATGGCACAAAAAGTGTCCACAAACAAGGACAACAGGTCTTACTAATATAGACTAAAGTATAAGGTCAAGTAAACCCAAAATGTGATGTCCACATATGAGGACACAGGGTCTCAGGAGGTTAAAGATGTGTAACATCAGAAATGTGGACTTTTACACTGAAGAGCTTGACTCATTTTGACAAAAAGAAATTAAGGGACTGATAAAATAATTGAGATAAAATGTTTGTGGCAATTAAGATTTAAATTTAAAACTGTGTAATGACTTTTAATGCCTAATATTTATAAAGTTGAAATTACCTGCAGACACACTGACTTTCCTTCATTACTTACATCTTGTTATGTAATCACCTTTCAACAAATTTCACTTTAAATTTATCCTTCACTAAAACCAGTGTTTTTTATGATGTGAATATAATGCAAACTCTTTAGTCATGTAAGTCATATTTATTTACAGTTTATGCATATTTATATTGTTATTCTGTTACTATTATTATTTGCCCTGGAAACAGTGTTTAAATGGAAATGTAAGTGCAATAACGGCCACAAGGATGCTGCTCTATCTATGCATGTGGCATTCGTTGGGTGCATGACACATTTCCATATTTCTCATGAACCACCACAGTGTTCTATTGTTCTGGAGAGCAGGCTTATTTACATTAACTTCTACTACATTACCTGCTGTGGGACAACACAGCTACTGACCAGAGTTTCGTGGTTATATCATAGTACCTTAGTGTTTAACACTATGGCACTCTCTGATGTTTTATAAAAAGTTAAATATCTTCATGTCAGTGATTTGAAATAGAAATGTTCAACATGGTGGAAACTGAAAATCGATTTATGCCAGTTGCCTTAATTATCAATTGTTCACTCTGTTTCTGCTTATTGTGATTGAAACTAAGATTCCTCTCTCTCTATTTTTTTTGTACAGGAAAGATGAGTATGTAATGAGAGAACCTGGCTGGCAAATCACCTGAATACTTTGATTTTTCCATAATCTCAGCATATGCTGTGGGAATTTGGGGGTTTTAAAGGGACAGTTCACCCCAAAATCAAAAATATATATTTTTCCTCCTACCTGTAGTGCTTTTTATCAGTCTAGATTGTTTTGGTGTGAAGTGTTGAAGATATTGGCTGTAAAGATGCCTGCCTTCTCTCCAATTTGATGGAACTAGATGACACTTGGCTTGTGGTGGCGAAAAATACTTTTGAAAAACTCAACATCAATGTCTCTTTATAGAAATCATGACCTGGTTACTCAAGATAATCCCTAACCTTGTTGTGAGCAGTTTTATGTAGGAACTACTTTCTTTTTGCTGAACTACAACTACTAACCACATCACCACGCAGAAGGAAGCGTGCATCTACTCATGGAGGACAGGCTCGTACTTGTGACGGCATGAGACGTAAACATTAATGACGTCTTCCTCCGCTGAGCTGTAACAATAGCTACCTCAGTGGTGCTAGGTGAGCTAGCAGTAGATGCACGCTTCCTTCTGCACTGTGATGCAGTTGGTGAGTGTAGTTTAGTTGAACTGCTCACAACAAGGTCTGTGGATTATCTTGAGTAACCAGGTCATAATTTTTGGAAAGAAACATTGGTGTTGAGTTTTTCAAATGTACTTTTTTGGCGTTTTGAGCACCACAGGCTGAGTGCCATCTACAGTAGTTCCATTACAGTGGAGAGAAGGCAGACATCTCTACAGCCGATATCTCCAACACTCTGCAACTCACACAAAAACAACCTAGACTGATAAAAAGCACTACAGGTCAGAGGAAAAATATCTGTTTTTGCTTTTGAACTGTCTGTGAACTGTCTCTTTAAAAGCCCCAAATTAGGCTTTTTATTTCAAGATATTCATGTATTTGTTTTATTTAAAAAAAAATCTGCTGATAAAAACCTACACATGGTGGATATTACTATTTTCAGACTCAGTACATCTAATTTTGACTCATTTTAGGCCAACAAAAATAGATTACTTGACAAAAAAATCATTTAGTAATTATCCACTGGGATATTATTCCCATGTTTAATTTTTTTTTTATATAAATGAAGGTAACCCCTTTTTATGTTTCTTTTTAAAAATTATTAATCTGAAAGTAGTTACGGAGCCATACTTCTGTTATCATTACCTCAGAAGGAAGTGCATGAAGAGGACTATGCCGAGGAAGAACATGGACACGCCACAGCCAATTTGGGTGATGATAGTGAGTTTTCTCAGGTCAGAACTAGATATGGTTACATTAGGAGGGGCCTGCAAAGAACAAAAATTAAAGAACACTTGTAAGCACTTTGTCACAGGCATCGGTTTATGAGGATGGTTTATGATGAAATTCATTAATACTATTAAAAATGAGGTAGCTACAGAGTGTAATCAAGATGATCACACAGAGGAATGTCCTAATATTTATACTTTACTGGGTATCATAAAAATATTCCGAAGGAAGTAAAACGCACCAATAAGATAGCAAAAAATGTCAAATGCGAGCAGGCACATGTAACGTTGTTTCCATGTGTTATCGTCTCACATCCGTCACCAGTCCAGTTTGGTCGACTCCCTAAAAGACAGAAGCAGAGCATAAAAAACAAGAAGATTTAAGCATCAACACTCCATGAGAGTATTACATTTCAAACATGGAAAATACTAGAATATCACGCCCAGATGTACATTAAGGTGCACTAAAATCCGAACGTGATACCATGAGTTGATTTGGCTATGAGAACAAACTCACAGTGTCAAAGATGTCCTAAAATTAGCCATTCACAGCACGCCTCTGCCTGAGGCATGTTTCCACAGCAAAGAGAGTGTCCATCCAAACAAACTGAAGCACCACATCTGCTTCACCGCAGTGTGTGCAGAGTAACCAGGAAAGCTTGATAACGTTTTTTGTAGACTTGTAGATGTGTATCGCCGCTACAATACATTTAATTTTCCTAATAATGGTGCCTATACAATGTTCACCTTGTATGTTTTTAAAGCTTTTTCACAGCAGACATTTTGACATGTCATGGTAGAAAAAGCACAGGTGTTACTGGGAACATCAACAATGCATCAAGTGTTCCAGTAAGTCTTGACAGTGTGAACCAACTTCTCAATGACCCTGAAACTGATGCAGCTAAATGGAATCCTACCATCATTAATGTCATTATTCACACCTGTGGAATAGGTCTGTTCTTTCACAGCACAGCCCAGTCGCCAAAATAAAAGGTCACTTTTCATTGCTTCAAACCATGGATATGTTATATCTGTATGTTTTACACATGTGACGTAGTTCAGATTACCTGTGTATGTTTCAAATAAGGAGGAGGAGGGGATGGTGTATGGCTTGACACCTATGCAATGCTGGCTCAAAACCACCAAAAGGGGTGTTTTTCTAACTACAGTGACATGCCAAAACATGATGGTTTCCTACATCTAACCATGTTGTTTTTTTTCCCTTAACCTAACAACACCTTTCACTATCATTAAAACTGATAATTGAAACATAAAGGCACGTACAGATTTGTGATGTGATTTCATTCATACTTGTTGGAAGAAGCCCGGCTATTACCAAAATGACGCTGACCTTGTAATATTATTATTACACATTATTTTTATGACAAAAAGTGTCCTGATAAATATATGTCTGATATTTCGACGCCTGCTTGCAAAAACAAGCCCTCACAAGACGCCGGTTACTTCCTGCACTCCCCCATGATACAAGAGTGGACAGATATCGTAAACTGTGATATTCTGTCAAGTTTATGCTCATGTGTTTGTGTCCACTTCCTGTTTTATTTTGAAATATGTTCTCATTGTGTTTGTTTCTTTTACTTCCTGAGTTTTCCCACCTTTGTTAATTATCTCGTGTTTCACCTGTGTCTTGTTCCACCCACATGTGAGTCGTTAGTAATCAGCTCTTGTGTATTTAAAGCCCAGTGTTTCCCCAATCCAGTCACCAGACTGTCATTAGCCCTTTTTAGATAGGAGTTGTGCAAATGTGCAGGAAAGCCCAATCAGTCTTTTTTCAGCATTGGCAGTATAAAAACAAAATCGGGGAGTGCGGCAAAATGCTGCCTTCCTACTTTTGTTTATACAGAATGTGCCTTTTTCGGGGCAATGGGGGGCGTGAGCAAGTAACAAAATGTGTAGCTTAGCGTGTGACGTAAACAGTGACGTGGGAGGGAAGCCGCACCTAGTCAGGCAGCGATTCTCTCGTAAATCAGCCCGTTCTTCACCGTCCCTGTCATCTGATGGTTAATGGCCTCTTTGTCTTTACAGTGTCTGTCAGGTTTGCGTTTCCCTCTTGCTACTAGCTGCTCACTAATTCCTGCTATCAGCTGTTTCCTGTTTATCCACCGCCAGTGGGTCGCACGTGCGACAAAAGTAGGTAGGCGTCATCAACAGCTCCTCCCATTGCGGAAGGCCGCCTCGGTCTGTTTTAAAGGGTTCCACCAAAATTACTACCCTAGGAGGCGGAAAATTGGGCACCTTGGATCAACTCACAAATCCGGCTCTGTGTGTCTAAACGCTCGCAGCTTGCCGGCAAAACGGCCCAACATAGGTGGAAAATCTGGCAGTGTAAAAGGGGCTATTGTTGCCCTAGTGTGTTCATGCTGTCCAGCCTTTTCTTGTGTTTGATTCTTTGGTTTTTGATTGCACTTGGATTTATGGACTTCGCTTTTTGTGTGATTTCCCTGAATGAACTATTCTGCCTTTGCTGACTGCCTTCACGTGTTTGACCTCTTGAGTAAGATTTGGATTTGATAAATTGTTCTTAGTGTTTTATGTTTTCCTTTGCAACTGAGTCCCACTTTTGTACCAAATCGTTACAGTAAATTATATTTATGTTATAAGTAGACTGTTACAGACAGAGTTTGTGCTGGTATTGTATAAATTACCCTGTTATGTTGTTATATTCTTGCAAACCTCATTGACTGCCATTCTTTGTTTTTAAGTCTTCCCCCACTTATGTTTATACATGATCTTTCCCATCAGTACAAAGTTCTTACATTTTGAAAAATCTGAACAGCAGGGGAAATTATACTGTGTCTGTCCTGATATGTTTTGTAACATAAACTACTGTCCAAAAAATAAAGAATTAAAAAAAGAACAAAAAATATCCAAAACATAAAATGACACTTAAATGATATAAAGAGTTCCCCATCACTTACAAGTGGTGAAGATACATACAAAATTAAATATAAGTTCTCAACATAAAAATCAGCAAATGGGAAAAAATACCTTCACCGTTCCATGATTGACAAGATGGAGTTCCGTCCTGTAAACAAGACAACAGGACTGCATTAAAGTTGTGTTCTTTGATGGATAAACATACTCAAAAAGCACAAATAATACTTTTTTTTTGTTTTTGTTTTTTTTACTTACGTATATGACGTTGTGAAAATTCAGCCTTATTTTGTCTGTAAGATTGGTGATTTCAGTTGCCATCGACACTGCTAAAACCTCATCATTTAAAATAGTGCTGTTCGACTCATCCTAGAAGAAAAGGATAAATAGCACTACAAAATAGTAACATGATCACATATGTAAGGTGCATTTACTTTGTAAGCAAAGGTGAAATTGAGATATTTTTCCTTACCGTGAGATTGTTGAACCGGAAAATAACTGCAAATGGCACGCTGACATTCTGACTCTGAATTTTTTCAAATGCTTCTTTGGGCACAACGACAGATCTTTGAAACGTAGCCAGAGCATCTTCGCTGTCTATAATCTGCAGGGGAGAGCACAAGTCTGTTTTCAAAATAGTGCACATTGCTGCTTTAAGGTCTACAGAATTGTGAAACTATAGTCACTTTAACAGGGTCCAGTTTTAATCCAGAAAATTACGTAGCATGTAGGAAATTACCGAGCAGTCTCCCTCCTATGCTAGATTGGGTTTTGATGCTTTCACTTTTGGAAAGAAGGCAAATAAGAGAATGTGTTGAACAAAACTAAATTATTTCCAAATGAGAGACATGCATGGCTGGATGCCATATAGTTCATATAGACCACTCACTTCATCATTCTCAAGTTAGCAGTTGGCTGGGATAACAGACAAGTCACCGGAAGAAAATGTTGGCGTATGTTTCTGCAAACCACGGATATATTACATTTGTAGGAGAGGATGGTGGATGGTGTGATGTAACAATGTTTGTTCAAATAATTTATGGGTAGAAAATACTCATGTTACGTATATAAAATAAAACAGCGCTGAGCACACACTACCTCAGCTGGTTCATTTTTAGCCACCTAAAAAAGGGAGTAGAAGTATAAACAATATTTAGAATATTTTCACCACTTTAACTTACCGTCAGACTGCTCTTTTTAACAGAACTAAAGCTAATATCTCAGAAGTTGATGGTCTACCACTGCCTCAATCACTTAGTGCGTAAGGTAAAGAGGAGAAAATATTCCAATTATAGCGTACACTTAAACCAACATTGATTTTTTGAGTCTTTTAGGTGGCTAAAATTAGTTTTGCTGTGGTCCCCACCATGAGCACTACATTGCTTAGCTTCCATGCCTGTGGATTTTGTTTATCAAAGACACTAGCAAAGCAACACAGTACATAAAATAAATACAACAGAAACATCAGATAGGTCGGACCACCATGTTGAACTATATATCTTTAAACGTAACAGTTAGAGCTGAAAATGACAACAGAAATCAACAAGTTTGATTTCCCATATGTCCGCAATTTGAATCAATCGCCAGTTGTATGTCAAGGAGTGATTGTTGTTGTTAGCGCAATGTCACAGTCAGTGCTTCTCAAAGGGTGCTTCCTTGGTAGGACAGCTCCTTCCAAGTCGGGGCCTTCAGAGGCTAGGCAAGCACACCTTCCGAGCATTTGGCGAACACATATCGGACCAGGCTAGCGAGTAACCATGTGTGTGTCATTTAAGAGGCCCAGCCTTCAATTCTGGCAAATCATGCACAAAGATTTGTGGGTACTTAATGCCTGCTGAGGATACACACATGCATCCTTGAAAATTCTCTAAAGGATTCGGTCCTTGGTAGAAATTGAAGGAGCGTTGACATTGGAACAGATCTTTGATTGGGATTCGATGATGTAGCCTCCTTGAAATAAAACTGTTTAAGGTCCTTCCTTGACTTTCAGAGGCACCGAGTGATTCGGTCTTTGGCATTTTAAGCAAAAACATGATCTTTTCCTAATCATAGCTAAGTGGTTTTTATACCTCAACCCAAAAGAATTCTAAAACAGGGTCCTTGCTTTAACCTAACCACATGTAACCACAGAGTTCTCACAAGAAAAACTGAAATGCAAAGAAATGTAACGTTTCATCATATTCGCTACATATGAAACATACAATGTAACATAACCACAGTTTGCAGAAAGCTACCAGCCAACATTTATTCTGGCGATTGGCAATAATCATCGCATACTGTTATTCTGAAGTCTGGAATGACAATGTTACAACATAGCACATGTATGACGACCAAATAAAAAAAAATGCACTCACACTTATGCTGTCATGTAGAGACTCATAGGCAAAGAGAACTTGGTCTACTTCCTCAGGATCTCTTTGTGTCACTATAACACCTTTAAGTCCTTTTCCCACAGTCACCTCAGCTGAAGTCTTGATGTTGGCAACGAGGTTGGGCATTGAGTTCATGACTTCACTATTGACGGACAGATAAAGATTTACGCCTTAGATATGCGGTTTATTGTCTACAAATCAATAGTCTATGCTTTGATATATTTTTAAAAAAGTTTTTCTATATACACTTTTTAAAGGAATACTTCCCCCTCAAAATTATATTTTGATTGTTTATTTATCAATCAGTCAAATAATAAATCAATCTGTTTGTATATTAGGCATGCAAGAAATTAGTATTTCTTTAAGATCAAAGCCTGAAAATATACACATTACATTATGGTAAACATTTCTAAATAGCCAAAAACATTTCCCATGTTTTAATTTCAATGTTTAAAGGAATAGTTTGAACTATTACAGACTTGTATGGAGCTTAAAGGGATAGTTCAACATTTTGGCAAATTCGCCTATTGCCGTAATCCCTATAGTCATATGAGTAGGTACATTACCTTAAATTGTCAGTGCGTGCTGTTCTGAGATCGGTGGGGACAGAGCTGCCCGCTGAAATGGAGGTGAACGGTACAGGTCCCTCTCTCCCTCAAAACTAATCAAATACACCATCAAATGACTCCAAAACGCTCTAGTGGACAACACATGGCTTGCGCATTCCCCACGCTATGAAATAATAATGTATAATTAAGTAAGATTACGACACATGAAGCAAATACTCGGAACTACTTTCTTGAGTAAACCACTGGGCGGAGTGACACAGTGCACAGCTGAGACAGTGCCGTTGTTATTGCTTGTAGCCATTTGCGGTATCATCAGCTGGACGCAGCAGAAGGTTTGAGGAAAGTTTACAGAGTGTTGTTGTAAATCATGGTTTACATATGTATTGTAAAAGGTTGCCGTAACAAGCCGAAGACATGGAGCAAAGTGAAGTTTCACGTAGTTCCAACCAGTAATACGGACAGGATGAAACAATGGCTATTTGTGCTGGACATCGACCCCAACACGCCTGTGGAAATGGTCCGGAAAATGTTTGTTAGCTCCAGCCATTTTTTACTGGAGGACTATGCTGAAAGGATGGAGCGCAGAAGCTCAGGAATGGTTCAAACGCTTTTCTTGAAAGACACTGCCATACCATCTGTCGGCATCACAAAACAAGCGACGTGGTAAGTGATCGTTGTGTATTTGCTCAGCAATCTCTCTGCTGTAACATTACCTCCATGTTGAGTAACATTAGCCTACAACCCAAGCATGGTAAATAAGGCTAAAATGCAAATGTTGTTGTGGTTATGTTATGGATAATAAATCATAATAAACAGACTGCTAGGGAACATTTTATGTTGTTGTTCCTTCAGGAGTTGTGGTGATTTATGAGTGTGGAGTTAGCATGTTCTCCCCGTGTTCCGGTGATTATTTTGAGACGTACTCTATATTTATATTGCACAGGTGTACCTAATAAAGTGTCCAGTAAGCCCCACATTTACACCACCGGCTCTGGGTCTCCCTGCAGCCCCTGGTTGCTCGGCAGCCTCAACCTCTCTTCTTGCTCTCTTCTTCCAAAACCTGTAACTCTTCCTCTGTATATTCTGGCTTCTTCTCAACAAACTTGTTGTACTGATGACGGGAGTAACTGCACTAAACATACGCTGTTTGAAATCACTCCGCCCAGCAAGTACTGTATGTCTGGAATGTAGTTCCGGCTCTGCATTTGGCTTCAAAACAACTCTGTCTCGTAATATTAAATTATTATTTCATAGCGTGGGGAATGCGCAAGCCATGTGTTGTCCACTAGAGCGTTTTGGAGTCATTTGATGGTGTATTTGATTAGTTTTGAGGGAGAGAGGGACCTGTACCATTCACCTCCATTTCAGCGGGCAGCTCTGCCCCACCGATCTCAGAACAGCACGCACTGACAATTAAAGGTAATGTACCTACTCAAATGACTATAGGGATTATGGCAATAGGCGAATTTGCCAAAATGTTGAACTATCCCTTTAAGCTGGAAGGTGATTAGCTTAGCTTAGCTCAAAGACTGGAAGCATGGGGAAACAGCTAGCTGAGCACTGTTCAAAGTTTTGTTTTGTTTTTTTCTGTTTTTAAATCTGCCTTTTAGCACCTCTGAAGTTTACAAATCAAAGTTCAGTGTGTAAGATGTAGGAGATCTAGTGGTATCTAGCACTGAGGATTGCAGAGTGCGACCAGCTGAAATTTCTCCTGGTTAGAACTCCTTCACTGTTAATTGTTCAGAGGTTCACAGGTTTTTACTGGGAGCTGAATTGTCAACAGAGGAGTCTTCCTATCCAATACAATCGTCACAGATGGTATTCTAACCAGCAGTGTTAATTTTGACAGCTGTTTTAGATTTAGTCTTAGGGCTCTAGTTTCCCAGCGCAACGCAGGGTTGCGCAGGGTGGCGAACCCCGCGCAGAGCTAGTTTCGAGCAGCGCAACCCGAGGCACGCTCAGTTTGGTAGTTTGGCAGACCGAGGTGCGCTGAGATGGGTTTGGTGGCGCAGCAGGGGGAGGTGTTGACAGATCCAGCTTGGCGCAGTGCCAGTTCAATCCAAAAGGCTTCGCCGAAGGTGCGCTAAAAGCTCGCCAGCTGAAACCACGTCTACTGTCAGCGCAGGGGGAGCGCAGCCGGTGTAGGGGAAGTTCGGCTGACCGGCGGACAGTGCACACACGTCACCAAAACCTCACAGGCAGGTTTCCAGAATATCAGGCACATTAACAATGCAATAAATAGCCACAAAAACCACTATTCAATGCAACTATCTGCAATCAGCACATAAATGTATCTCTATATCGACTGTCCCGTCACATTTGATGTCAGATCAAAGGGGATTGGCACCGTTTGGCACGTTTGGCACGCGTAATGGAAACCCAACCTGATTTGATTAACACAGCTGCAAACTAATGAGTTCACATTCCTCTCAGCCAACCACAAACAGCCACAGCATCAGATAGGGAGTATATATTCAGCATCTGTCATCTTAGAAAAGTCAAAAGAAAAGAAACAGAGTGAGACTGCGAGAGAGAAAGAGAGAGAGTGCGCGCATGAGAGAAACGCAACATTGATTTACAATTGTGGTGACCTCCTCCCAGGCTACCTTTGCATCATCAGCCCATGGAGGTCTGCTCGCAGTTCCGTATATTCGGACACTGCGAGCAGACCTCCCGGACCAAAACATCAGTTTCCTCCTGGGAGAAGTTTGGCCGTCTGACGCTGCTGCTCTCTTCTGCCATGGCGAATTGAGTAAACTCTCATTACGCCTTCGTGCGGCGCATTTAAGGACGAGGAGAGGGGCTCATTTGATTGGTGTGATGTGTGTAAAACCCACTCCACACCTTTTCTCCTCCCTCTTTCCGACTTGCGCAGGTAGGAGGGACGGAGGTGGGAAAGGGGAGTAGCTGCGCCAGCGTGCACGATGTGCCAAACTGCAAAATCCGCCTGGCCACACACAGTTGGCGAAGTGCATGTGCGCTGCGCCTCCGCCTCGCCCGGTAAAACTAGAGGCCTTAGTCTTGAGATGAAAATGCTTATTAGTTGGTTGACAAAAACTCAAAAGGTTTTAGTAGATGAAAATTCATGACATTTCAGTCGTTACTCTTATTCAATATGTTTTCTATATGTTTTTCTTATCTTTCAACTAATCTGTACAACACAGCTACACTCACTGACAACGGAGCCTCCTATCTGCCTGTCAAACAGAATCAATCCATAAACCTGCCAGAGTCTGAACTGAGTGGAGTCCCACGTGGACCAGCTATGACGTCCGGTGGCCAGTGGCTGCTTGCTCCGCTGCCATTCAGCAGCTAACAGGCAGAGCTGCTAACAGCCACCGCTGCAACTAACGAACTCCACAAATCTATTGAGCAGCTCTACCATCCACAGGGTGGTAGATCTATTTTCAAGATCTGTTTTTAGCTCATCATTGTCTCGTTTTCGTAAAAAAAAAAAAAAACGGCTGCTGACTACATTTTTTTTGTTAGTTTTCATCAACAAAATTAACACTGCTAACAAGAAGTCTGATTCCCTGCGCGAGCATGATCGGGCCCAACCTGACTCACTAGGCTTGGGCCTAACACTCTCACACACAGATGGAACTGGTTTGTCCGTTCTGGACTACTGTAGTGGACATGACTATCTCACATTCAAAGACCCGCTCCCTATGTAGATATAAATGGCTCATAAATTTTACTTTGATGATCATACACTAAAGAAAATATTCTATCATATTCCATTTCTGCCTCTACATCCCGAACACTAGACCTTGAACACACTGTATCTTGTATTCTTAATTTGTGCTCAATTAAAAATGTGAAGTCGGTGGTTTGACGGTGCTTTCAATCTTCCCATCTCTGTGATCAACCTCACAGCAATTTTCAATCTTCTCATCTCACTCTCTGCAAGAAAACAAATAAAAGATCCCCCCACCCCCAAAAATTCTCAGCTGTATCTTAATAAATCCATGGAGCATGTCTTACGAAGCTTTGGTAGCGTCGACTTTTTCTCCTTCAGTTATAATTGTTGCATTACACGTAATTTTCTGCTCAGGCTTTTTCACTGGGTCATTGCAGTTGATACAGTTGTTGTTTGTTGCTGTGATGTTGATGATGTAACTGTCTTTGACCCCTGGAAACAAAAAAATATAAGGAAAGGAGCTTTATCTCAAGCATTAACTAGCATCTGTGAGGTAAAATATACGGCAGTATGTAACAGTTTGAGCCAGAGTCCACAGCATGCATTATGTTGTGTAAAAAATAGAAGTTTGGAGAGCTGCAGGAGAAACATTTTCACATTCATTCTTTGCTTGTCTGAAGGGAACTCACCCATTTCACTGCAGATCTTATCACTGTAACTATATCCATTACATATGGTGCCTGTATCCACACATCGAATCTGGCAAGAATCTAGTAACGAATAAACACAGTAAAAAAAATAAATAAAAGCCAAGTGGGAGAAAGCTATACAATATTCAGAAAGTTAATGTAAAATAATGTCAGAGTATATCAAACTGTTGAAGAGAGATGACTGGAAAATAATCGTGAATAATTTCCTTCTAAATTGTTTTAAACTGTTTAATAGTATTATATCAGAGATGGACAATAATTCAGTAAATGCATTTATAATACATATTTGAATGAGTATTTTGTAATTTGTATTTTGCGCTCACCTTCTGTGAGTTTCGAGGGGAATTACCCCCAGGAAAAATTCTTAGAAACCTAAACGCTAAACTCACAAGTTAAGAGAATTTTTTATTTTACTTTACTTTTTATGACATATTATATTGTGAATTTTTAGTTTTTTTAAAATATTTTTATCAACAAGTGGGGTGGGATTTTGGGGGTAAGTAACTATAATATACCTTATAATAAAGCCCTCTTTCCACCGAGCAGTACGGTCCGGTACAGTTCAGTTCAGTATGCTTTTTCTCTGTTTCCACTGTGAAAAGTTGTGAATGGTACCAATGGGACCATTCCGTACTGTCCCCATTCTCAGTCCCCCCTCTGTTGGGGTACGTAGCACACAGATCTGGTACTAAAAGATGGAGCTGTGAACACTGCAGTCCGTTGATTGGTCAGTGGTGGACAGTCACTCTGCTCAGGGCTGTGATGTAGGAAATTGGCAGAGCTCATTTTTTCAGTGTAGGGGCATTAAGGTCAGGCCCATATTGAAGCTACTGAATGCCTAAAATGTGATAGTATCAGTTTGTATGAAATGTATTTTGTGTATCATCAAATTAAAAATTACTTGTATTTTAATTAAAAACATTTTCTCATAGCAGTATTTTGTATTTTATTTTGATACATTTGAGTATTTGTAATTTGTAACAAGGTACGTTTTGATGTATTTATGCCCATCTCTGACTAATATTAAATTACATAATTAAAAGGGACTTGATTTATCAATGCCTATTTGTTTTCAATTTCTTGCATTACTACAAATATAATTATATTTCATTACCTCTGTTATCATTTTTTTTTCCCAAACTTGACAGTAAAAAATGAGTTTACCTGTCAGAGTGTGATTGAAGACACACGCTGAATCTGAATTATAAGAGAAATTCATATTAACAAAAACTTATTATCAACTTTTATCTTTGTGACTTTAAGGTAGAACTTTTGTTTTACTTTTTAACACACACACACACACACACACACACACACACACACACACACACTGTAAATGAATTACTCACTTTAATGTATTTTTCTTGAGCTCGTAAAAATGGCTATAGACCGTTTCAAACCGGACAACATAAACATTCTACATGGGTCCCTTTATATTTCCTGTTTGAATGTATGTTAATGCAGAAGCTGACAGGAAGTAAACAGGGACCAAAGTTGTTGCCCTAGCAACAGAATAGCAATGAAACGGTCCATATATTAATGTAGAAACAGAACAGGAAAACAGGATGTATAGCCTATATATTCAAATATCTTTTTAACTTTGAACACAGACTCTCTCCTGAAATAGGCTATGTTTTCTTTTGCAATAAAGAAATTTGTGCATTTTTCTGGTCAGCCAGTATGGATTTTATTTTTAATTGATAAAGCAGATTAATGATTTATGCACGTATGGTGTAACATTGCTGATAGGCTACCTTTAATGTTCTATGTGCCCTGAACACATCCAAAAACACAAACAAGAGTTGTCAATGGGCCTGAAAATTACAACCCGACCCAACCCGGCCTGTGGCTTTTTAAGCCCAGACCCGATGCAGCCGACACACCAGCATTAGGCTAATTGTCTGCCTGAAAAAAAGGAAGCCTGAGGCCCGACCCGACCCGAGTCATTTGCATATTTTTTCGGCCTGAACCCGTGGGTCCGGTCAGGTTTGTCGGGCCGGCCCGACCCGTCTGGGATGATAGGGCCATATAGGCAGTGCTTGCTAACCGCTCGTATCCCCCCTTTAATATGCAAAATATTAGATGGACCCAGTCTGACGTTCCACTCTGTGCCACTGCCACCTGCTGCTGCAAGGGCAGGCTGCTGCGCTCAAACGCGGCTGCGTTTTATGGGGTAAAAAAACGTTGCGTCCACCGGCCGGTTCGGACTGGAACAGACGTGCCGTTTGGGAATACTCCCGAACCTCCCTATGGCCAGCCCGCCCCTGGTCCCTTCATAAGTAAAGAACAGTCCCTTCAGTGCGGTGAGGTTTGTGGACCGTTACCTGCCACAAAGAGAGAAATGTGAACGGCTTGTTTCTCCTCTGACACACCACATACCTGTGTGCCGCCATGGCTCGGTTGTCCAGGTACTACTGGGCAGTCATGACACCAACGAAAGAGGAAATTAGGCTACTGGACCTGGAGTCAGACTTCTCTGTCGCCGGTAAACCATTATCTTGCGCTGCGGAGCCGCCGTAGGCTATTTGACTGCCGTGTTCCTGTCTGTGACCCCCGTTCAACCCACAACCAGGAGGATTTGCCTTTCGTTTCTGCTGCTGGTTGAAATCTGTACTCGTACAGCATGCTGAATGATTTATTTTGCTTGCACAAAACTATTTTAGTCGCAAATGCGAGTAAAATACTCACACGTAGAGCTCTGTGGAAAACAAATCACTGCCGACAAGTAAAAATCAATAAATAATAACTGCTCAAAGATACTCACATGTCTGGAAAACAAACCACTACAGCAGCATACTGAGTGCCAGGTGGCCAGCGCGCGCCGTTATTGGACGGCGCATGGACACTCTTGTGATTGGACTTTGAACTTATCCCACAGTAGTGGTACGTGAGGCACCGTTGTACTACGGTACTCCACCCTGCAACACTAGTGACATCAGCCAATACTGTGTGTAGGTTTTAGATGTGAAAAGTTCTAGACCCATGCAAATTAGTTCCGGAACGCACCAGGGCCTTTTCTGAAAAGATCCTGGTATATGTTCCAGTACGTCCCGGCTCAAATTAAGCACTGGTTGCAGTGCTTCGGTACTGTAACAGTAAAAAATGAGTTTACCTGTCAGAGTGTGATGGAAGACACACGCTGAATCTGAATTATAAGAGAAATTCATATTAACACAAACTTATTATCAACTTTTATCTTTGTGACTTTAAGGTAGAACACACACACACACACACACACACACACCTGTGCCGTTACATGATGTGGAGTTGCAGTGCTTCCCCTCCAGCACATGCAGTTGCAGTTTGTTCTTGATATGCCATTGTGAGATAAGCAGTAGATAAGAACCATCTTTTGCCATCATTTGAGGCCACCCCCATTTCAAACCTTCTGTTAATTAAAAACAGAAATACCGTCAGTATCGTTTCTATTCTGCTGAAATGCCGATGTAAACGTGTAAACAAAAATCCAATATTCCGTGTTAAGTCGGTGATACTCACGTTGTTCAGTTTGGTTTTTCCTTAGAAATACGATGCAACCCATTCCTGCTGAGAGGCAGAGAAAGCAGTCTTTTCATGTCACGTAGTCATTTCATAATACATCTCTTGCATACTTTTACAGCAGTAATCCAAAACCAGAGTTACTCAAATGATTAAATTAAAAACTACCTACTTACTTGCTTTACTCTGACAACCACACCCACCAGGGGGAGGAACAAAAGGCGCCATAATATGCAACTGATGGCTAAAACAAAATGCCTATAGCAAGCTAAAAAAATGTAGATTTCAGCATGTCAAAGGATTATTTAACACCCTGTGTCCACTGAGTGGCCAGTAGTGACATAGTTTGAAATGTACAACAATAATAATAGTATTGAACCACCAGGTAAGATCATATACTAAATAAATATATATCAATATACTGAAATGTAATAAAAATTATAGCTGCTGTGCAGCAATGGTTGGGGCCGGGCAATTTAAGGCAAAATTAGGCAATTCTGAGCAACACACACACTAAAACAAAGCATATCACAACATAGAAGTTACATTATATAATTATGGCATGCCCTTCAAATTGTGGATGAGTGGCCGAAGTGATCAGATTCATAATATACAAAGGAAAGAACAAGAAAGTAAGAATAACATTAACTGCTAGCAATTATGAACAAACTGGCCTGATCTAGCTTAAAGCTAAACATTATCCATGGTGACAAAGATGAAAACATTTTTTAAAATGTAAAAGTAGCTATTGGATAGACTCTACATATTGACTGATAGCTAAGCCAAATAAACAGGGAAAAGAGACAAGGGACAGGGGCGTAGCACCAAATTCTGGACCCTGTACACTCTCAATGTCAGTGGGCCCCTATCCATGCCAGTGCACGAGGCGCGTGAGCAAAAAAA